TTAGGGGAGCCATTTAGGATGTGTGGGTTATGGATGTGTCTGTTTTCCTTGGCATGCCAGTAGTAGTACGTGTTGGATACCTAGATGTGGATGTGGGCTGTGTCTTACTCTTGGTACTGGCGGTTTGGGTTTGTGGCAAGTCAGCCTGTGGAATGATTTTGGTAAGGCGTGCTAGGGAGTTATTTATGAGTTTTTCTATCATCTGTTCAAACAATGTGTGTCCAGCAAAGGTGGCTTTGTTTGGGCGGATGTCAGTGTCTGTAGCTGTTAATGGGATGTCTTTTGGGTCAGCCTCAGGGGTGGGTTGTGTTACTTGTGTAAAGAATTTAGTTAGAAGTCGGTCCAGCGTCTTTTCTAGTGCATTTTCAATGCGAGTGACAAGAGTTTCAACAAGATCAGGGTTCAGTTGTGCATTTTGTGAGGGATGGTTGGACCCTAGGGTTGTGGGAGTGTCGGTGACAGATATATCAGGTACAAGCAAAGGCTGTGTTTGAGTGTGAGGTAGTGTTTGATGATGGGCTGTGTTAGGTTGTTTCAGTGTACTACTGTATAGCAGGTTGTTGGTAGGGAGAACCTTAGTTTTTGCTGCTGCTGCTATGTATGAAGGACATTGTTTGAATGTAATGTCGTTGTCGCCACCACAGTTTGAGCAGGTAAGTGTATCTGATGTACAATCTTGCTGTAATGGGAACCAGAGCATTTCCCACATTTAATATCTGGTGCAGCCTTTCCAGGTATGGTTAAAACCATTACATTTAAAACACTGAGTGGGACGTGGTATATACACCTCTAGTTTATGGAGGAAGCCATTTAACCAAATCCTCTCAGGGGGGATGTAGTCTAGAAAGGTAAGCAGAGCAGTGCCTGTATCACTCAGTTCTCCGTTTGTTCTTCGCATAAATTTTTTGATTCCATGGATCGGGATGTTATGTGTCTCAAGTTGTGCTTTGATGTCGTCTACACTGATGTCTACCACATGTCGGATTACATATTTTGTTAATCGGTCCCCTAGTGGTTTGTAGCACTTGACTTTGTGGCCACAGATGTCAGTAATGTCTGAAAGCTTTAGTTCTTCGCCATGTTTGTGGTCCACTACGATCAGGTTTTTCTGTTTATTTGGTCTCATATTGTGCACGTTGATCCCGAATATCTTGGGAATGGCATTATATAAGATACTTTGTGCCCGGCTATTTCTGAACACATTTTCCTCTTCGCCATCAAAGGCA